AATCTGAAATGACCTAAATAAATGGAGAGAAAGCCTCTGTTTATGGATCAGAAGAATCAATACTCTTAAGATAGTAATATACAAATTCAACATAATCCCAACCAAAATCCCGGCAGACATTTTTATAGACATTGACAGGATGATTCTAAAATTTATATGGAAATGCAAAGAATCTAGGACAGCCAAAACAACTTAAAAAAAGAAAAAAGTTAAAAGACTTGTATTACCTGTTTTCAAAAATTATTGCAAGCCAATGTTAATAATGACAGTGTGGTATTGACACAAAGCTAGATGTTGGAATAGAATATAGAGTCTGGGAATAGACCAGCCACCCATTTCTGTAAATAAAGTTTTATTAAAACACAGGCATGCTCACTTGTTTAAATATTATCCATGGCTGCTTCAAAAGTATAATAGCAGAGTTGAGAAATTACAAAAGAAATCTATGGCCTACGAACCTAAAATATTTATAATCTACCTTTAAGAAAAAGTCTTCCAGTCCATAGAATGGATTCATACACATATGGTTGTTGAATTAACAGAGGAGCCAAAGTAGTTCAATGGGAAAGGACAGGTAACCTTTTCAAAAAATGGTGCTAGAACTACTGAATAAAAATATACATTTGTTTTTAAAAAGGAAACTCAGCCCTTACCTCACTCTATACAAAAATTAACTGGAATTGGATCACAGAGCTAGATGAAAAGCTATAACTATAAAACTGACTTTGGATTCAGTAAAGATTTCTTAAGTAAGATACTAAAAGCAGAAATATGAAAGGAAAACTTCAACAAATTAAACCATCACAATTAAAAACATTTGCTCTTCAAAAGATGTTTTTCCAAAAACAAAACAGCAGCCATAGATTGGGAAAAAATATCTGCAAAACATATATCCAACAAACACTTGTATTCAGAACATATGTTTTCAGAAACTTCATTCACATCAATATTAAGACAAATAACTCAATTTTTTATATGGGCATAAAATCTGAACAGACACTTCACCTAAAAAGATATATGAGTGACAGATAAGTACATGAAAAGATGCTCACCATCATTTGTTAGCAAATTAAAACTACAATGAGATGTCACTATATACCCATTAAATAGCTAACATTAAAAAAAGTGACCATCCGTAACACGTGTTGGCTAGGATATAAAGGAACTAGTACTCTGATACACTACTGGTAGAAATTTAAAATGATACAACTACTTTGGAGAACAGTTTGACCATTTCTTAAGGAGTTAAACTTACCTCATCATAGGACACCACAATTCCACTGCTAGGTATTTATCCTTGCATTCTCAACAGGATGATACCTCCCAAGCAGAAAGAAAATTGGTTTTGGGGAATCAAAAACCATCTTACTGTTTCTCTGTATAAAGCAGAGGTAAACATACAGTAGCAAATATACAGTATATCTGTTGTATTAAAATTTCATGGGGGGGTTAAGAAAATAATATCTAAACAGGCTTCTTGTGGGTAACAATGAAAAAAAATTTTATTACTTAAAAAAAAAAAAACAGGCTGAGCCAGACAAAAAGACTATGGATATCGTATATTCCACTTACACTAAGTTCTAGAAAGTACAAACTAATCTACAGTGAGAGAATGCTGATCTGTGGCTGCCTGCGGACAAAGGGGGAGGAGACAGGTGCAGGAAGTGGGGACTGTGGCGTGAATGGACATGTTCCTGTCTTAGCTGGGTGGTGCTGGAGGTGTGCATACATGTTAAAACACATCAATTTTGCTCTTTAAATATGTGAAGTATACTGTACATCAATTACATCTCAATGAAGCTGGTTTTTGTTTTGTTTTTTTTTTAAAGGCCCCTAAGGGCTCTTCCAGAACAAACATTCAATTTCACAAAAATGTATCTATATCAACTCCTTCTAAGTTAAAAATAATTATCATCTGTGCCCCCCCCCCAACACACACACACAGTGTGAGTACCAGGCACTTGCTATGTAGCAAAGGGGCAGTGGTTACAATGTGAGCAGCCCTGTTCTGAGCTTATTTTGAAGAGGCATGTTCCCTTTGAAATTAGGATCTCTAAGAGTTGGGGCTACAACCTGCATACTCTGAAATCCCCAGCATTACATCACATGCAGAAACTTCAATGCCGCAGCTCCAGGCCCTAACTCATCTTACCTGATTGTTGTCCTACTGACAACAGTCTCCCAATTGGCTTCTCTATCTCTGTCTATGACAGCCTTCCAGATCACACTCCACACACTACCCCTGGATTATTTATTCACCTAACAAACTTTTATCAAGTTCTACATAAAGACCTATAGAAAATAATGGACATAAATTTTTTAAAGAGTCCTCCTAATCTACGGGGAGAAACAGATACAAATGTAGTTATAACTAGGGTAACCATAGGTCCTGGATTTGCCCAGGACAATCCTGGTTTCACCTGTTATTCCAGCATAATTTCTAAAAGAGTCCCCTTTTACTCTTAAAATTTTCCTATTTCAAGACACAAAATTATGTGGCCATATATTCCCAGAAGTATGAGAGCAAGGAATGGCCCTGCCTGCATTCCATTCCTTGTCTTGCTCAAACCCCACTTCACCTCTGAGGTCCTCTGTCCTTAAGAATAGCTCTGCATTCCCCAGAGACAAATGTTGGATACCAAGTGTCCAACAACAGGTATATGGGTAAACAAAATGTGGTGTACACATGGTGAAATAGCATTCAGCCTTAAAAAGGAAGAACATTCTGACACATACCATAACACAGATGACCTTGAAGACATTATGCTAAGTGAAATAATCCAGTCCCAAAAGGCCAAATCCTGTGTGATCCCACTCATGAGGTCCCTAGAGCAGTCAAAATCATATGGACAGAAAGCAGAATGGTGGTGCCTAGGGCTGGTGCCAGGGGCAGGGGGAATTAGTGTTTCACTGGAACACAGCTTCAGTTTGGGAAAATGAAAGAATTCTAGAGATGGATGGTAGTGATGGCTACAGAACAATGAGAATGTACTTAATGCTACTGAACTATACACTTAAGATGGTTAAAATGGTAAATATTTTCTTACATATTTACCACAATTTTAAAAAATAAAATAAATGCCCAAAAAAAATGGCTGTTTCCTCCAGCTCATAAACACATAAGGATTACCAAGCACCCATCTGGATAAGTTTTTAATTTTGTACAATAGCAAAAACCCTTGTCAATCAGGCTCCAATGTCCTTACAAACTCACCACCTTCCACGTTCCACCTCTTGTGGTTCAGTGCGGCCTAATCCAACACTGTTCACTATTTTCAGAACCTTCCTTATAGCTCCTGCCTCTGACCTCAGCTCATGCTTTCTGAGCTTCCCTTTGCCTTCTCCACCAGCCAGGGTTCCTCCAGGTACAACCAAATGTCACCTCCTCCTACATAGTCTTTCCAGCAAAGTCACTGCAGATTGAGTGCCCCTTATCTATTATCCAGCCCCTCATCTGTTCTTATAAAACAATAAGGTCCTCACTATCAAAGAACAATTAAAAAGTGAAAGAAGAAACAATAAGAAAACCTAGTACCACTTCTAATAGCATTAAAATATGTGAAATACATAAGGGTAAATTTAACAGAAAATGTGAAAGATTGACAAACTGACAAGTATGAGATGTTATTAAGAAAACAAAGACCTAAATAAAAAGACAGATATATATTCATAGATTGGAAGGGTTAAAAGTCTACACTGGTGAGATAATAATTCTCCCCTACATTCATCTATAGACTCAACACAATCATAGTCAAGATCCCAGAAGCTATTTTGGCAAAAGAAAAACAAAGAAAGAGAGGAGAGGAGAGGAGAGGAGAGGAGAGACCCATTCTAAAATATATGAAAATGAAAAGAACTAGAATAGCTAAACAATGTGGAGAAAAATGCGCAACATCGAAGAATTTATATTACTTCGTTTCAAGGCTTATAATAAAGCTATGATAATCAATATAGTATGGCATTGGTGTTAGGATAGATTAGTGAAATAGAACAAAGTCCCGAAATACACCTGGACATAAATGTACAATTAATTTTTGACAAAGATGCCAAGACAATTCAATGGGGAAAATAGGGGGTCTTTGGAACAAATGGTGCTGAACAAGTGGATATCAAAATAGAAAAAAACTAAACATTACCCCCTGTATCATACAATACACAAAAATTACCTTAAATAGATCAGACCTAAACATAAAGGATAAAACTATAAAACATCTAAAAGAAAACATAAGAGAAAATATTTATGACTTTAGTAGTAGGCCAAGATTTCTTAGGACACAAAAAGTACTAACATATAAGAAAAATAATAATAAATTGGACTTTTTAAAAGAAATCTTTAAGAAAATGAGAAGAAAATATTTGCAATACATTTGTCTGTCAATACACTTACAGCAGGATACACTGAATACAAAGAACAGAGACAACCTAATAACAAGTGGGCAAAGTAGTACAGGCACTTCACAAAAAAAGACATGAATAGCCAATAAGCACATTAAAAAGACGCTAATGTTATTAGTCACCAGGTTGATGCAAATTAAAATCACGATGAGATACCCTGATACATCCACCAGAATGACTAAAATGTCAATGATTGAACATATCAAGCCTTAGCAAAACTGTAGAGCAACCAGAATCCTAGCACTTCCCTGCAGGGAAGGTGCAAGGAACAACCACTTTAGGGAACAGTCTGGCAGCTTCTTATAGAGTTAAATGTGCACTTACCATGTGGTCCAGTAATCCCACTCCTGGTTATTTACCCAAGAGACATTATTGTATGTGTCCACACAAGAACATTAACAGCTTTACTCATAACAGCCCACAACCTAAACAACTGTTAACAAGCACATGGATAAACAAATCATGATGTATTCACACAGTGGAATATTTCTCAGCAATAAAAAGAAACAAACTACCAAGGAAAAAGACTACCCGAACATGACATAACTCAGATGAATCTCAAAAAAGCTATACAAAGGAAGCTAACACAAACCAAAAATCCATACCGTGTGATTCCGTTTTGATGAAATCCTAGAACTGGCAAACGAGTCCACGGGAACAGAAAGCAGATGGCAGTTGCCCTGGTCTGGGTACAGCACCAGGACTGACAGCAAAGGCTGTGAGTGGACTCAGGGGTTTGGGGGGATGTTCTTTGTCTTCAGGGACTGGGATCCTGTGAGCTGAAGAAGCAAACCAGAGGTAGAGAACCCAGAGTCAGAGAAAAAAAACCTAACTAGTCAAGCAAGGTGAAGTAAAATACAACAGAAAACACTGTATATTTTGTCTGATTATACTCGATCTAGGTAAATGGAATTTTTAGAAAAGATTTTGTGACACAGATTCTGTGACAACAGACTTAGGGAATAAGAGCATCTGACTGGCTGAGTATATTAAGAGCCAGTTCTGTTTTTTCATAAGGAAGGAAGCAGGATTCCTAATCACAGGCTCTGATGAATCATGTTCCCTTCATTACCATAAAGCTGTTATATCTTGGTATTTGTGAATGCATTTTTCTTCTAATCAAAGGGAAGGAATAAAACCATAAACAAAGGGGAAGGGAAAGGAAGACACCACGTATAGACATGGTCTTGATAAAAAAAAAAAAAATAAAGCAGATTTGATTATCATTTTATTGGTGAATAAATGAAGTTGAGGTGAGTAGCCCACATGGCTGGAAAGGATAGCACAAACCAAACCAAACCAGTTCTGTCTTCAACCAAAGCTAAAAGGATCCCGCTTTAGCACAAAGCAGGCCAGATCAGCGGAAGACTTCCAGCTACATGCACAGTGTCACACCAATAGTGTAAAACCTCTCTCCCCGAGATTGGGCGGGGCCAGGGTCAAAGGGAAGGAAAGCCTTCCTGAGCCTACCCAGCCTGTGTCTCTCATGCACTTTACTCCTCTGGCTCGGGAGACCTCTGAATTTTATACAAATGAAGAGAGGCGCTGAAATACAGCCTTTTTGACAACTCAGCCATCATCCTACTGACTGAATTCCCTCTTAAATGACAAAGCCTGCTAAGGTCTGGGGAAATCTCAGAAAGTGTCTTAATACTATAGTTTTATAAATGTAGATGCTGAAAGCCCAAGGAAGAAGGGATACAAGTCTAGTTAATGGCCCAGAAAGGACCAAAAACTCAAGTCTGGTTGACCAAAAGGTGCTCTTCCTATGACCCACCCTGTCTCTTAAATCCCTGCAGGGATGGGGCTAATTCAAGAAGTAGGACACAAAAGAGACGTGAGCACCACCTCTAAATAGGGAAGCATCACTTACGAAACCATTTAGGCCTCTCAACATGGAATAAAAGATTACCCTGCCAGCCTAAGCAGCAGCCACCAGCTGCCCAGTCAGGACACCTAAGGCTCTGCAGATGTCCAGAGTGACAGACTGGTTCCTGACCATGAGGACAGCAGGCTCTGTGGAGATTCCAGGCTGAGAGAGCTGTTCATGGGCCTCTGCACTCCCAAGGAGACAAGTGGGGGGGGGGGCCAGAGACAGGGGCAAGTCAAGATCATTAGGATTCCATGCTGCCAGCTTTGAAAGCCCACGTTTCCTAGTCAACTCCATCTTTTCACACTTCAAACTCAACTATATGCATCTCTCCAGCTATTTTATTTAAATAAAAAGCCTATCCTAATTAAGTCATTGAAACTATAATTTGGGAGCTGGTGGACAAAGTGGAGGCAACAGCTTCCAGGATGCTGAGAAAACCAACCTCCACAACTTAAGACTTTCCCACTGAATAAGCCTCCATCAGCACTAACTCACCAAAACTATTTCAGAATGCATTTTAGATTGAGCCCCTGACCCCAGCCAGCTGGGACACAATTGCAGCCCACCAATCCAAGGTGGGGTGGGATAGAAGATCATACTCAATAAAAATACCCTTCTCAAGATGGCAGAAGGCAGAGGGAGAAGATCAAAACACATGGCCTGAAAAAGATAAACTAGAACGTTTCAACCTAGGAGCTTTAAATGTTATCTGTTATGATACTTCATATCATATATGAGAAAACTAAAGCCCAATCACCCTGCAGGGGTGGCAGAAACCACCCTATTTAGCCTGATTTTTCTACCCAGTCTACAACTTTTTACACAATTCCACATTAGTGGATAGCAACAGCCCCTTTCCATCAGGAAAATAACATTCAGTCATGACTCTTATAAAATGTCTGAAAAGACATAAAACTGCCTTCGCAGCTCTAAAGTTACATTATTCTACTTTCAATGTAAAAAAGCTAAAGATAAGAGGATTTTTTAGTACACTTTCTTTCTGTCCTCCAGGTTAGAATGCCCTACGCCCATACATCCCAAACTTTCACAGGGAGACAACTCACCTGGGGTCGTGTTAAAATGCAGATTCTGACCCACATGACCTGGGCTGGGGCCTGCACGTCTGCGTTTCTCACGAGCTCCCAGGTGATGTCAATGCTGCTGGGCCGTGGGTCACACTTTGAAAAGCCTGACCCTAAACCACACTGACTCTGACACACCAAGGAACGGGTGTTTAAAGATGGAGAAAGTGGACTAGTAATAATTCTCCTTACAGAAATAATGCAAATGCTGCTGTCTCTACTCACCTACCACCCACAGCCTCAGCGAGCAATGGAGGCCTCCAATAGAAGCCAAATGCAAATGACTAGCAAAGCAATCAAGAGAGGAAATAGCTAAAAAAGCAATAACAGCCCCAAAGCCACACTTGGCATCTGGCTGACGTTATCCACACTGTCAGGTTAAACAAGATCTAAAATGACTCAGGAGCAGTCAGGGTTCAATCTGTGCACAGGCTCATCCATACCCTCACCCAAATAGCCCAAATCTGGCCCGAGGCCTACTTTTGTAAATACAGTTTTATTGGAACACAGCCATGCCCATTCGTTTATTTATGGCTGCTTTCACACTACAACAGCAGAAGCTGAGTAGTCACAAAAGTAACCTAAAGCCTCAAATATCTACTATCTGATCCTTAATAGAAAAAGTTAGTTTACCTCTGCTCTGGGGATTCAGGGGATTAAACTTCATAAAGGAAAACCTGAAACCCAAGACAAAGGACACAATTATAACACTGTAGAAGCATTTAGAAGAAAACTGTAAATTCAGAGGCAGATTAGAATCACATTTTAAGGCAGGCCTGGTAAAAGCTGAAAATCAGGGACCGGGTTGGCAACAAGGCCTAACCCACCCTGTTAAAGGATCACCTTTCCTTTCAGAACATTGAGTCTGTGCTGCAGAGGGAAACATAAGAGGCCTGAAGGATTTGTGTCTGACCCACCAACCTCCTTCTGTAAACCTGATTCATCAGCCTTTTCTTTACCGGCCCCTTTTATAACACAGCCCATGAATGAGCATGCTTGAGGTTGGGCCTCCTAAGTCCACTCAGCCCCCATCATCATGAAGGGCTGAGGCCCTGGGGTGCAACTCCATCCAAGTCTCTCCTGACAAGCAAAGAGGAAAAGCCCTGGGGGCTCCAGACAGGAGGCACATCATTGAGGCTCAAACCTCCAGGGGAAGGCACAGCCATCTGTCTCTCTGCCTCTGGCTCCTGGCAGATGGTCCCACTGCTGTGCCTGTGGGTACAGGGGGAGGGGCAGGTGGGCACCATGCTCTGGGTAACATATGTCAGTGTGATAATGGAAGCAAATTAAAGAAGACGGTTGGTCTTACACACTAGCTCTGCAGGGTTGGGAGCTGCCATACTCAAAGAATGGATGAGATCCAGATTCCACTAAAATGTGATGACAGAATTGTCTAAACACAGTAAATGAGCACAGACTACATTGTTGAAGGGTCTAGGTGGAAATTCTGCTCCACCACTTTCTAGATGTGGCCTTGAGTACATTGGTATGTTATTTTACCTTTCTCTAAAAACAAGGATGATCCAGGGAGGGGAAGGAGGAAAAAAAAAAAAAAACCCAAAGATGATCAGATGCTTGCTAACAAATTCTTTAAGTTTCCTATGTGAAAAGCTTTTAAATGATGATCTCCATGCTAAAGAGGATTGTAAGAATTAAGTAAAGATAATATTGCCTGCTATAGAGCATAACACATAGTAAACTGTAGCGATTACTCCCCCAGAGAAACCAAATCTCCTTTGCATATTTCATAGGAAACCAATAGGCCTAATGAGACCTGCTCTTCCAAGCAAGTCATTAACTTTTTTAAAATGATAATAAGCCCAGTACAGTAATGTACTGAGGATGCTGAGGAGGGAAGATGGCTAGAGCCCAGGAGTATGAGGCCAGACTGGTCAATACAGCAAGAACCCATTTCAAAATTTAGAATAGAACAGAATAGTAAAATAAAAATAATGTATTCTGCAGGGTAGATACTATCTCTCAGAAAGGTTAAATAACTTACTTCAAGATACAAGCCTAATATATGACAGACCAATATCTTCTCACTAAACAATAGTTACCTTTCAAAAATATTAGCAATTAGGAGTAACAGCTTAATAATCTTAGCTTCAATAAAGCAAAAAGGCTACTTTCTCACTTTATCATTTACATATCAAAGTGTGTGTCCTCCTGAAAAGTACTTTTTTAAGAATGAATCCAAAGGGCCCCATTTCCACAGAGAAAATTTTCTTTATAATGCCTAAAACACAGTATAACCTACCATTAAAAAAGATTCTTTACGTATCTTCAGTTTTCCAGCTACGGATGCTAATCTGCTCCCCAGGATGAGGATCCAGAAGCTACAAAATAAACTAAATAATACTTAACACCATCATGACTAACCATCTAAAGCAAACCTTTTTTAATAAACCAAGCATCTCCCAAGAGAGGTCTGCATCACTCCTCAAGTTCCGTCCTCCCTATACTCTGCCCAGCAACCTTCTCCTCTACCCAGCCTCCTGAAACAGCTCTTGTCAGTCACTTAATGCCATCTCTGTTGCCAAGCCCAGCTGTCAAGTCTCAATGCTCCTTTCTCCCCACCTGGCAGCATCTGACACATGGTATCTATCACCTTTTCTTCTAGAAACAGCTTCTCTTGCTTTGTCACCTACATCAGGGATCTCCCCTCCTCTTCCCAGCCTCTGAAAACTGAAGTGGCCAGGTTTGGTCCATAGACTTTTTTCCTCTCATAATTATATCCATTCCCTGGGTCAGCGGTCCCCAACCTTTTGGGCATCAAGGACTGGTTTCATGGAAGACAATTTTCCCTGGACTGGGAGTGGGGATGGTTCAGGGACGATTCAAGCACATTACATTTATTGTGCAGTCAAGCTTCTCTGCTAATGATAATCTGTATTTGCAGCCGCTCCCCAGCACTAGCATCACGGTCTCAGCTCCACCTGAGGTCATCAGGCATTAGATTCTCACAAGGAGCATGAAACCTACATCCCTCACATGTGCAATTTATAGTAGTAGGGTTTGCGCACCTATGAACCTAATGCCACCGCTGATCTGACAGGAGGTGGAGCTCAAGTGGTGATGTGAGCAATGGGGAGCAGCTGTAAATACAGATGAAGCTTCACTCACTCGCCTGCCAGTCACCTCCTGCTGTGTGGCCCAGTTCCTAACAGGCCCTGGACCTGCACTGGTCCATGGCCCGGGGCTTGGAGACTGCAGCCTTAGGTGATGTCATCCAACCCCAGGATTTTAAATACCATCTATACAGTGATAATCTCTAACATTTCACCTCAGTTTAGACCTCTGCCTTCAATGCCAAACTCCCATTTCCAACTGCCTTCCATGGGACAAATGAACTCCATCTAACCTTTCTGGTAAATGTCAAAAGAGATGACTAACACGTGTGCTAGACATGCTGCTGCAGCTAATGCAGGGGTTGGTGACAAAAAATAATGAAAACAAAACCTCCAGGAAGCTGGTGATGTCAGGGTATGCCCATATAACTACCAATGCAACTAAGTATCAGCTGTTTACTAACAGTGGGTGGGAAACTGTGCAGGGACTATAGGCTTAATTCCACATACATAAAACTCAACATATGCCACTGCAATATAGCCACCTGCTATCCCTGTGTGCATCCGGAGTGTCTGCTTGGCTTACTAATAATGTCAGCTAATTCCATCTTATGAGCTGCTCATGTTCTTTGGGGTCTCATTTCCTGCTTTTTCTCCCCAGTACTTCTTGGCATCTCCCATTGGACCTCAAACCTAACATGCTCAAAACCAACTTCTGATCCCCCTGCTAAGCCCTACTCTTGCCCTAGTCTTCCCGATCCTAGTAACAGCATCTCAAGTCTTCCAGGTACTCAGGCAAAAATCCTTGAAGTCATCCTTAAAATTTCTTATTTCTTACTCCTATTGCCCAACCCAACAGCAAATCTCACAGGCTCTCCTTCCAAAGTATATACCAGACCTGATCACTCCACACCCTATCATCATCTACCACCCGGTCCTGCCACCATCGTTGCCTACCTGGATTACTGGGAAAGTCTCCCCACTCACCTCTCTCCCTCACCTTCCCCCCTACCCCTATAGTCTATCTTCCACTCCCAAATGTTTAAAAAAAATGTATATACAGAGAGAGAGTGTGCACATGTAGTAGAATGTGT